TAGTCCAAATCTTGTGTTTGCCTTAAAAAACTCATTGAGTATTTATAAATTATTAACTTAGAACCCAGTGACTTAAAAGAATTAGAATTCAAAACCCATAAACTTGAAATTTTGGCTTCGCCTCTGCCTACATTGCCACGACAACAAAGAACAAAAATATTGCAAGGCTACCGCAAAAAGAAAATAATCTTTGCTCTAGAAATATGTACTATATCATTAAGAAAAAAGAGTAAAAATTGACAAGCGGTCAAGATAGAAAAAACTCCCTTATATATTGGCAAAGTTGTGGGACGAAAGGACTTTATAATAGTAGTTTGTATATAAAAAGAGACCATAAGAGACTTGCCAATACGGTCCAGATGTGTGTGCTTTCATATTCGATGATCATGTCGGAAAGCAATATTAATCATAGATATTTGTTAAAATATAGAGGTCGAAACAAAAACATGATGTGCCATCTCAATATCATAGGGTCCATTTAAGGATGGCAAGTGGGCTGGTCCCGGGCCTAAACGGGCCAAGTGGGCGGGTCCAAACGGTTTCGATTTCGGATCGGTCCCAAATTAAACGGGATAAACGGTCCCGGACTAAACGGTCTATTTTGTAGGGACCGGCCCGGGACCGGGACCGTTTGGTCCCGGGCTAAACGGTCCTGGCCCGCGAGCTAAATGGGCTAAGTGGGCCCAATGAATTTTTTTTAAAAAGAAAAATTAATTAGATATTAGAGACAAAAGGATATTAAAACAAATATCTAAAGCAATGCTTTGTAAATTTTATTATAGAATTGTGACCTAAATTTTATCTAACATCCTAAATTTTATATATTTAATATTTAATANGCCCACTAAAACCGGGCCAAAATGGTCCTGACCCGTTTAGCCCGTTTGGCCCGCGGTCTCGGGCCGGTCCCGGGCCTGGACCGGCCCATTTGCCACCCTTAGGTCCATTCTTCATGTTCCCATAATGATTTATATGACAATAACAATAAATCCAGTATAATGATGATATATATGAGTGTTTGTAAAAGTTACAATTATCATTAAGTCTATATTATTATTATTATTATTATTATTATTATTATCATTATTATTATTATTATTATTACAACAATAACAACAAACTCAGTATAATTTCATATGTGGGGTCTGTGGAGGATAATGTGTACGCAGACCTTACATTATTATTATTATTATTATTATTATTATTATTATTATTATTATTATTATTATTATTATTATTATTATTATTATTAATATTGTTATTGTTATTGTTGTTGTTGTTATTGTTGTAAAGTCACACATATTATTATTAGACTCACAATTGTTGAAAACACTCGAAATTCAAAATAATAGACCAGAAAGTAAGAGAAACCTTAGAGCCGAGAGAGAGTTTATTGGAATGAGAAAACAACTAAACCAACTTTAGCAACAACAACCAATAAAAAAAAGAGAGAAATATAACATACATAATCTCAGATGCCCTCTTTATATAATGCATACAACAAGAAAGTACATTAAATAGTTGTAAATCAGGAAAGTTCAGAAAGAAAAAGTGTAATAATCAATACTAGATGGTTTGATATTATTATTATTATTATTATTATTATTATTATTATTATTATTATTATTATTATTATTATTATCAACATTATAGCATATGTAAACTTAGAAAATTCCAATTAAATAATACTCATTCTGTTTTAATTTAGTTAACACAATTTCCTTTTTAGTTCGTTCCAAAAAGAATAACACATTTCTATAATTAAAAATAATTCAATTTTAAACTCTTCATTTTACCCGTTTTACTCTTAATGAGAAGCTTTTTAAACCACACAAATGTCATGGCCCCATAAAGTATTTACCCCTTAAGCTTTTAAGACTACAAGTTTCAAAAATCTTCTTTTTTTTCTTAAATACTTTGTCGAGTCAAACTAGCTCATTTAAATTAAAACGGGGGGAGAAATGCGCATCCACACATTATTCACGAAGCCCAACTCTATTTCACATTTTCTTTGGGCTATATATTCGTCCATTAACCTAAGAGAAAATGACCCTCTATTGCCCCTCAAAATTTAATAACCCATATTTTTTTTTATTAACACGAAATGGCCCTCCGGCCCAAACATATTACATCTAATAGCCCGAAATATCTATTTTATTTATTTTTTGTATAATGACAGTCTATTTTGTATAGTGACAGTCTATTTTGTATATATTTTGTATAGCGACAGTCTATTGTATATAAATTGTATAGTGACAATCTATTTAGTATATTTTTATATAGTGACAGTCTATTTTGTATAGTTACGGTCTATTTAGTATATTTTTTGTATCATGACAGTCTATTTTTGTATATATTTTGTATAGTGACAGTCTATTGCATATAAATTATATAATGACAGTCTATTTTATATAATTTTTGTATAGTGACAGTTTATTTTGTATATATTTTGTAATATACCAATATTGAAAAAAAAATGCTCTCCAATCTAATACATAGTCTAAAAATATAAGACGTGGAGTTTACCTCTACATTGGTCAAACTTTTGGGACTACTAATTGATTTGGAGTGATTTCTTTTCTTGTCTTTAAGTTGAAGGTTTCAAGAATTGAATACAAGATTTGTCAAATCTCAGTAGTTGTAGTATTAATACTAATGGCGTCCAGGCTCCAGCTTCGAACTCACCGCAAATTATGAAATCGAAATCAAAACCCAGTCAGTCTAACCCACTGTGCTCGACCTCGTTGGCTTTAGATCTGAACGGAAACTCAAACATCGGCGATCCTCCATTAAACCCAACAACTCTTTCGTCTTGTTTTATTTACTATTTTTGGGGCTTTTGATATTATAAACAACCTTGCATATGGATGAATCCGGTTCGTCACCGGTTTTACACATAGAACCGGATTATCCGCCTGAGGCGTCACCGTATTCTCCACCCTATAAAAATATTTCTGGGATGTTACTGGCGGCTGTTCACTCAAATGCTTCATATTGCTCTCAAATATTGTTTCAGGCAAATCAGTATCAATCTAATTATCTATTATCTAAAAACTATCTAAAAAGGAGTGGGAATAGGGAAATATAATTGATTTTTTTTAACTGGGGGTGCATATAGTGGTTACGGAGTTGAAAAGTTTGAAATTTGAAGGGGAAAGAGTGGCGGTGATTTTGGGCTAGCCCTTGTAATTGATTTTGGGCTATTAATTGTATGGTTTATTTTATGGCTACCGATTGTCATTAGTTTTTTTCGGATGGCTATACGTGATAATTGCTCTTAACCTAATCCAAATGGCCTATTGCACAAGGGATAAATTCAAAAATAACCAGATTTACAAGTGATAATTGAAAAATAGCCACAGTTTCAAAAGTAATCGAAATTTAGCCCCTTTTCATGTAAAGATAAATTTGAACGAAAACACTGTTCAAAATCCGAAAAATATTCTAGCATAATATAGTGAAATTCCAGCATAATATACTGGACTGCAGTATAATATACTGGAACTCTAGTATATTATACTGAAACTCCAGCATATTATATTGGAGTTCCAGTATAATATACCGGTCCAACATAATATGCTGGAAGTTCATACACAGGTGCACTAATCTCTAGTATATTATGCTGGAACTTTCCGCGTGTTGGAGTTCCAGCATAATATGCTGGAAGATCATACACATGTGCACTAATCTCCAGTATATTATGCTGGAACTTTCCGCGTGTTGGAGTTCCAGCATAATATGCTGGAAGATCATACACATGTGCACTAATCTCCAGTATATTATGCTGGATTGGTCCGTATTACAGCAAAATATTAGCTATTTTTTAATGACTTTACAAACGTTGACTATTTTTGAATTACCAGTTCGAAAATTAGATAACCCATTCTATTTTTACAATGCGCAAGGTTGGACTTCCCAGACCAGCTATTCCTAACTCGCCCATTCAGGCAACAATTCTCATTTCCAAAAGGAAATTATTATGTGGTCGTTTAGACATCAGAATTGTGAAATTTCGAAACAAGTGAATTTTGTTTTTTAAGTGAAAATGGTATTTGAAATTAGAGTTGTATTTGGACATGAATATAATTTAGAGTTGTTTTTGAATTTTTGTAAGTAATTTGAAATGAAAATTTTGAAAAACAGTTTTTTGGAGTTTTTTTAAATTTTCAAAAAATATTGAAATTCAATTTCAAGTGAAATTTGAAATTGTCATGGCTAAACATTGATTTGGAAAAATAAAAATAAAAAAATTCGAAAAAAAGTTTAAAAGAAAAAAAAAAAGATTTATGGCCAAACGGGCCCTACGTTACATTTACCTAAAAGAAAAGGAGCCCATTTTGACAAAGACCCCTTCGTTCCTTATTGATATAATAATGGTATGGATCAGGAAGGATAATTTTCAGTTATTATGATCAAGACCTAACTCCATTAAACTCACTGACAAAAGCACGTGGATATTTGCAAGACACGAATTAATTCAAAGAGATATGACAAACATCACTCTTTAAATTATGTGGCATAGTTTGAATGGGCCAAAATTTCAGATAGAAGAGAAAACAATTATTAATCAAAATAGTTGTCCGTCCAACCTTTTAAATTAAAAATAGTTGGTGGACGTATAACATATATATAAATGTGTATAATCAATATATACCGGCTAGAAAAAACAAACATTAAATCTGACCCACTATTTGTGCAACAAACTCAATAGAAAAGAAGTTTTTAAAAATTTGTGTCCGTAAACATGTTATAATATTTGTTTGAATATAAAAGTTTATCGCTAAGAATAAAATTAAAAGTTTAAATTAAATTATTTTCAAATTTAGAAAGTTATCCTTCCTATTGGAACCAGAGGTGGACCTATGTGTTATAGTGAGAGGTTATCGGACCCCGTAAGTTTTGGCATAAATTTTATATATGTATATGTATATACCTTGAAAATGATTAATTTAAAACGCTGGACACCGTAAACATTAAAAGCTTTTAGGGGCACAATGAACATAATATTGTGCACCTGTTGTGTAAAGTCTTGGATCTGCCATCTGACTAGAAGGGAGGAAAAAAGAGATGTTACTACATAAATTGAAATGATGAGCAGATGACCTTTAGTACAATAAGAATCAGAGACAACTTTCTTAAGGAGAAAAAGGAGAGGTAGAGCCATATGGAAAACAAATTAGAAAAGAAGCCTCGAGTTCTCTGCCTCCATGGCCATGGAGCCAGTGCTGAAATATTGAAGAAAGAAATGGAACTTGGTTGGCCTCAAACTGTACTTGAGAAGCTCGATTTGGTGTTCTTAAATGGACCTTTTCTACTTCAAGATAAAGTCGACTCTCATGGCATTTTTCATCCACCCTACTTTGAATGGTTCCAAAATGATAAGGTTGTACCTCTTTCTTAACCTATAGTTTTTAATATAGAACGGGTTCAATGCTAAAAATATAATATTTGTGTTTATGTATGTTAATTTTGAGCAGAGGGTTTATCAGAAATAACATTTTTATTTGCATAAAGGTAGGGGTAACATTGCATACTCACTACCCTCCTCAGGCCCAACCGGTGAAACTACGCTGGATATGTTGTTGTTGTTGAATCCAATACTATAAATCTTAAAGGTTGAACTTATAGAGACTAATTCTTGAATCCAACTCTATTAAGGGGTTCAGTAGAATCAAGAGATTCGGCCGGGTCGAACCTTATATCTACGTACATATATGTGTCCGTTTGTGTGAGAGTTGAGCTAAATTTATATTGAAGAATCCATTCTTTTACTCAAAACATATAGCGTCTAAATTTTGGATTCACCATTGCTAAGAGAGGACCACTCTTGTTCCGAAAATAAAGCAAGAAGCTAATTAAATTGAACAAAAGCTAGGATACATTTGAATTTCTTGTATAAACATAGAAAATATAAATTTATTGAACTACTGATGGTGGATATTTTGATTTTAAATCTTTCACTAATTTGGTATAATACAATTTACTATCTTGTAGGACTACAAAGAATTTTACAATTTCGATGAATGTGTTGAATACGTAGAAGCTAACATGGAGAAGTATGGACCATTTGATGGTGTTCTAGGTTTCTCTCAGGTAAGTATTATTATTCCATTCTTGGATTCTTAGATAAATTAATGAAAATTTTCTTTTCTATTACTTCTATTTTAGGGAGCGGTTTTAACTGCATCAATGCCTGGAATGCAAAGGGTAAAAGTGGCTCTGACCAAAGTACCAAATATAAAATTTGTGATCATAATATCAGGGGCCAAATTTGGAGGGCGTGAACTTGGATTGCCCAAGCTTGCTGCTAATGCATTTTCATCTCCTATCGAGTGCCCATCTCTACACTTCATAGGTACTAATTTTTGCATTTTTTTTGCTCTGCAGCCCTATGTTGTTTGGTTCTGTTACTACTTTGTTACACCAAAAAATAGCAACAAAAAAAAAAAAGTAATAATAAACTTGGCTACAAAACAATGTTCTCATAACATCTCTCAATTAATTTTTCTTCATTAACTTGTGGTATTCTAAATTGCTACTATGACAGTTTAGTTAGAGTATTAGACTCCATCTATTCCGCTAGATTCGACTTAGTTACTTGTGACACTTTGATTGAGGGCGGACTGTTTAGGATGAGTCAAGGTAAAAGATTTTTAGTTGCAAGCTTCCAAAGAAGGGATGCATATGATATCTTAGGCAAATCCTACATTGGAAGGGAGAAAAAAGTGAAGTGTTGATTTATAAGATAGAGTACAAGTTCACATCATACACGTGTTCAATAGTGGCGTAGCGCAAGAGACATGTACTGTAAGGTCTATTAGGCATAATAGGACATTGCAGCCTTAGATTGTGACAAAAATAGTACCAGAACCAGACTCCCGCAACACGACAGTAGGGCAAACCTCAACGAGGACGCTAAGTCCTTAAAAGAGTTTATATGTGACACCTTGAGGATGAAATAACGAGGGCATGTCAAGTCGAAGCACTGACAAACTTCTATACTGGCAAGCTTACGAAGAAGATGTACATATAATACCTTAGGCACATCTAGCATTGGAAAGGAGAGAGTATGAAGTGCTACATAATATAGAGCGCAAGCTCACATAGTACACACGCTCAATAATGATTTAGTGTAAGAGAAAAATCAATGAGGTTTATTGAGCCAAAGTGGACAATACGTGTTATAAATTTAGGCTGCAGTGAAAAATATGATATCAGACCCAGACTCCAGCAATACGACGGTGAGGCAAACATCAACAACGATTTCTACCATGCAATCACTTGATTATATTCTTTAAAATTAAATTGAGGTATAATATGTCCTTTATTGTGATTGAATAGGTGAGAAGGAAACCAAAAAGCCAAACGAAGAAGAACTTGTGAAGTGCTTCGTCAATCCTGTTGTGATTTATCACCCAGAGGGGCACAAAGTACCAAATCTAGGTAATTGATAAAATTCTCAGCAACAAGAAAAAATAACTGTGGGTTTTTACATTTTTGATGATATTTTATGCGAGGTCTAAAAATGAGAAAATCGTCAGAAACATTAGTTTAATTAAGTTGTCCTTCATCTTTATAAATATATTCCCTCCGTTCTGTTTTACTAGGAAAGTTACTGTGAAACATTAATTAAGAGTTTTATTGACTATATTGACCTTTATTTATTCTTAAATTTACTCATAATATGAAGTTATAAAGACTTTTTAGAAAGTTATTTAGATCATTTATTAGCCAAAATGGCTCGGTCACCTACACTTGAAGCCGTTTGTTATATAAACTTAGAACATTTCCATTTTAGCACTCTTACTTGATCAAATGAATATTATAAACCAGTCTAATTGGCCTATGTGGAGGAGGTGTAGCGCAACAATGCGTGCACATCACTGCTCTAAGGCACGTAAATATAATCCCTTCGATCCCCCTAACTCCTCCATCTTCTCCAATCCCTCACTCCTCTGCTCCCTTCTCCTCCTCCCCTCCAAATCCTCTTCCCCCACTGATTCACATATTTCCATGAGAAAATGCAAAACCCTAACGATGGAGCAACAGTAGCTGAAATAAACCTCAACCGCACATCAAATTCAAAGCCAAAAGTTGTAGTAATAATGGGAGCAACAGGTTCTGGAATTCTTTAATTTTTGTACTCGAAAGCAGAGATTAGTGGAAACCCATCTCCAACATTCTTAAACCCAATGTTCCACTTATAAATTTACAAGAAATTCAAGAATTCGAAGCCATTAGAGCCATGGGCGAGAGTTATTCTTCGCTGCTTCTTTTCATTCTTTGCTTATTCTTGTCTCTTGCTCTATTATAGATAAGTGAAGAACATTAGTTCTCACCTGTGATGGAGTTTGGCGAGCTATGGTGAGAAGAAAGAGAAAGAAATAAAAAGTAGGACTTGGAAAATTAGAGGGAGGTTGGCGCCCTCTGACGTGTAATAATTTTAGTGGTTAGATGCCCACGTCTGCATATTTGTAATACACGCGTAGTTTTTAGTTTATATATCGGTATGGCAAACATGTACAAATTTAGGTGGTTCAGGAGCCATTTTGCCCATTTATTAACAAGGGCAAACTTTGGAAAGAAAATATTAACATCTTGGTTTTTGAAAAATCAATTGGAACAAATAAAATCAAATTAAATATAATGGAATGGAGGGAGTATCATAAGTATTGCTTTCCGACTTTTACCAACAATTTTGTTTGCAAAATCGTTCACTTTCTTTATGTCTATTATTAATTGAAGAAAGAACCAAATTACTTGTTACGCTATTTCGGTAATAAAATCATTCAAATAATTTTTTTGGGGTTAAACTTGAGTATTCAAAAAGTTGTAATGAATGATTTGACCATTTGAATAGTGTCAGTATCAGTGTATTTTAATCGATTACGATAGTTTAATAATTTATTGCAATTATTATGTTATAAATTTACAATATATTAGACAATTATCTATTGTTGTAGTTTATATTAACTTGATGATGTAAAGCAACTGTTCATGACTTAGCTTAATTTTTTTTTTTAATAATCAAATTTTGATCCTTTTATGTGTTTATCATTCAGATGCTGAAAGCGTGGAGACTGTGATAGCATTTATCAACAAGGTGAAGAAAATCAAGATGCAATTGCAGGGAAACTCAAAGATGTAACTTTCTTCTCGGAAGAGAAAATGTTTTTGTGAAATATGACGACATTTATTAATTTATTTAGCTTGAAGACAGTAATAAATGCTAATTTTTAACTGGTCCGTCCCTTTTGATTGTAATAACTCCGTGAGACTCTAATTTCGGGTTATTAATATGTGTTTTGTAACTATGGTATATATGTTATCAGTTTATTTTTGCTTGTCTACTAAAACTATTTTTTTATTTTTACTTGTTCATTTTAGCAAATCAAGAGAAAAAATTAAAAAAAAAAATTCATGTTTTACCCTTATCATTAATTACTCATTCCCGAAATTATTTCTCAAATTTTTTTAAAATGCTATCATTATTATAAGTATTATGATAAAAAAAAAATATACTTTATTTAGGGTATGCAAAGTCAATATTGAAAAACTAAAAGGGAACGGAAGGAATACTAAATTTGGTAATAGACTTAGGTTCATGACCATTTGTTTTTGAAGCATCAAGAAAGAGCAATGTTTTTGAATTCGGACTCCTCTCCATTCTCTTCATTTCCCTAAGTGGGACATTGATTTTGTTGCATGCGACATGTTTAATTATTAAACGGATCAGATTTGTTTTAATTTGGTAAAATAAATTCACTTAATATAGTTAAGACTCAACTCTCATCAAAATCCTAAATTGTTTCACAAATAATTCTGCTTGAAGCAGGGCAATTTGTTAACTTGATTACATTGTGAGGAGTTTTAAGTAAGCACATCCTTGGACAGCAACCTTAAAGTTGGTAATGCGGAGCTATTTATATTAAAAATATTGATAAGCTTACTTGAGTAAAAACTGTAAAGGAGCTTAGTAATTGTACAACTGTCACTTAGTTAACTATAGTTAGGTGTCATTAGGTGTTAACTATAGTTAAGCTAATTAACTAGTGTAGTTGGTTGGTTAGTAGTTGATTAGTTATGTAAATGTACAGTGTATTTGGACATTAGTCGGTTAACACATTAATAACAGAAATTCTTTTCCCTTTTTTCTCTCTCTCTTCACTTCTTCGCTGCAGCTCTTCTCCTTCTTCGAATTCTCCAGATTTGTGAGAATCAACATGGTATCAGAGCATTAATCGTGTGAATCTAGGAGTTTTCATCATCAATTCAGCTAAAAATCGAGAGATTCACCGAACATTTATTTGTAAATTTGTGCCCTAATTTCAATGGTAGGAGATACAGTCGAAGAACGTGATTTTGAAGAACAATTGACCATGCAGGAATCGACTGTGATTGATCACAACCATCCTCTATACTTGCATCCTTCTGATGGACCGAATTCGTTATCGTTTGAATTTCAGTTGATCGGAATGGAAAACTACACACTTTGGAGTCAAGCTATGAAAGTTTCGTTGCTAACACGAAACAAGCTAGGTTTTGTGGACGGTTTGATCGCCAAAGATACCTTTGGAACGAGGTTCAATCATTTGTGGGATCGTTGCAATGCGATTGTCAAATCGTGACTGATGCACAATGTAAGTCATGATTTGCTAAGTGGTGTTCCGTTTCACTTAAGTGCTCGGTCAATAAGGGAAGATCTTCGTGAGAGGTTTGATAAAGTGAATTCTTCACGAATGTATTATCTTCATAAAGAAATTTTTACCCTAACTCAGGGAACATCATCAGTATCGGCGTATTATTCAAAGTTGAAGGATTTATGGGATGAATATGACTCAATTATTCCAGCTCCTCCTTGTGACTGTGAAAAATCAAAAAAACATCTTGCGCATCTACAGTATCAACGTCTTTGGCAGTTTTTGATAGGCTTGAATGATGGTTATAGTCAAGCTCGAAGCCAAATATTAATGAAGAGTAAAGCACCTTCTATGAATCAGGCCTATGCCATGATTTTGCAAGATAAAAGCCAAAGAATTATTGCTGGTAGTCATACTGTTCCTATTGAGTCTATGGAACCAACAACCTTGTTCACTTCGTGGAATAACACTCAGAAGCAACGAAGAAACTATAATGTCGAATGTGATTTTTATCACATGAAGGGCCACACTAGAGAAGGTTGCTACAAACTTAGGAAGTGTGACTATTGTAACATGAAAGGTCATCTCAAGGAGAATTGCTATAAGATCATAGGTTATCCGGCTGATTTTAAATCAAAGAAGAAAGGGGCTTCCATCAGTGGTCACTTGGCTAAGACAGAAGTACAGTCAGTACAACAACCAACAATGCCACAACCTCATGTGGTTACACCTGATCAGTATAATAAGATTTTGCAAAAGATAAACAACAAGAAGTCATTTTTTTCAGAATCTAGTGCTCATATGGCAGGTACATCTTTTCCTAGTGTACATATGGCAGGTACTTCCTATTATATTCCTACAAAGGAATCTAGTTGGATAATGGATACTGGTGCTACTAATCACATGATTAGCAATAACCAATTGTTGTTAAATGGTATTGAAATAGGAAGTTCAGGACAGGTTCAAATGCCAACTGGAGAGACTGCTAGAATTACTCATGTTAGGGATTGTGATATGCCTGGAGGTGAACTACTTAAGGATGTATTATGTGTGCCCAATTTTAAATTCAATCTTCTGTCAGTTTCAAAAGTGACAAAGGATTTGAATTGTTGTGCAGTATTTTATCCAGACTTCTTTGTATTTCAGGAGCTCTTCAGTGGGAGGCTGAAGGCGATTGGTAGAGAAAATGATGGGCTATATGTGTTGAAGACAAGGTCCAGGAATGATTTTCACACTCATAGCAAATCTATGGCAGTACAAAATATTACAGACTCAGAGATTTGGCATAAACGACTAGGCCATGTTCCTATGGTTGTTCTAAGGAAGATTTCTTTTTTTTTTCCCAGAACAATCTTAGATTTACTTTGAACAATTGTAATGTGTGTCCACTAGCTAGACAAACTAGGATTGCTTTTCAAACACATACTAGCAAATCTACTGAACCTTTTCAATTGCTACATATGGATGTCTTGGGTCCTTATAACATTGCTACTTATGATGGTATGCAGTATTTTCTTACTGTTGTAGATGACTGTTCTAGATCGACTTGGACTTTTTGATGAGAGTTAAATCAGATGTTTCTTGTTTGTTAAAATCATTCATTGTCATGGTTCTGAATCAGTTTGGAAAGCATATCAAAATGGTTAGGTATGATAATGGTGCAGAGTTCTTTAACTTACTTGTGGATATCTATTCAATACCTATGGGATTATACACCAAAGGTCATGTCCATACACACCTCAGCAAAATGGAGTGGTCGAACGAAAGCACAGACATATCCTTGAGACAGCTAGGGCCATCAAGTTCCAAGAAGGTGTGCCCTCAAGATTTTGGGGCTGTTGTATTGAAGCAGCAATGTATATCATCAATAGAGTTCCCTTGTCTGTCTTAGACAACAAATCTGTTTTTGAGGTTCTATATAATCGTACACCATCTCTATCACAGCTAAGAGTAATAGGATGCTTAGGTTATGCCTCCACTCTATCCAAGCAAGATAAGTTCAGTCCCAGGGCTATTAAGTCAGTCCTACTTGGCTATGGTGTTTTTCAAAAGGGCTATAAACTCTATGATCTTGAGACACACAAGGTATTCATTAGTAGAGATGTTATCTTCAATGAGTCCAATGAGTCCATTTTCCCATTCAAGACTACACAAAGCAATATTGAGATGTCATTTCCATAGGCAGTTGATACTTGCCAATTATCTACAGATGATGTCACTATTCATGTCCATCCTGATCCAGTTGCTCCAAATTCACATGATGAGGCTGGTCATCCTGCTCCAGTTTCTCCAACTTCATATGATGAGGCTAGTCAGCCATCCACAGAAGCCACACAGCCTCTTCATTCCTCTAATAACGAGGCAACACTTCCTGATTCAGTTCCTACTTCACAATCATCTTCACAAGAGGTTGTACCAGCACCACCTACAGAACTTCGCAAATCTAACAGAACTTCCAAGCCTCCTATATGGATGAAAGATTTTGTTATCCCTGACAAGTCTCAGGCTGCTCAAGCTTGCTCTCATCCTATCTCTGCTGTCATTTCTTATGATTGACTTTCACCTACTTATCAAAGCTTTATCACCAGATTTTCAGCAGAAGTTGAACCCACAACTTATGCTCAAGCAGCTAAGGATCCTCGCTGGGTTGAGGCTATGCAACTTGAAATCAAGGCTTTAGAGGATAATAACACCTCGAAAGTGGTTCCTTTACCAGAAGGCAGAAAGGCCATCGGATGCAAGTGGGTATATAAAATCAAATACAAGGCTACTGGGGAAGTTGAAAGATTCAAGGCTCGATTAGTAGCTAAAGGTTACAGCCTGCATGAGGGTCTTGATTATGAAGAGACATTATCCCTTGTCGTTAAAATGGTGACTGTACGAGCTGTTATTTCTATAGCTGCTATCAAGCATTGGAATATCCATTAAATGGATGTCTACAATGCTTTCTTGCAAGGGGATCTTCACGAGGATGTGTATATGAGCTTGCCACAAGGATTCAAGTCCACTGCTGGGAAACAAACTGCATGTCGACTTCTTAAACCTCTATATGGCCTTAAACAGGCTTCACGGCAATGGAATTTGAAGCTTACCACTGCCTTGCTTTCTTTTAGATTCATTCAGAGCCATTTAGATTATTCTCTTTTAACCAGGAGGTCTTGTGGGAAGACTATTGTGATTTTAGTCTATGTCAATGATCTCCTCATCACAGGTGATGATTTGAGTTTGATAGAAGAAACCAAAAACAAGCTGCAGCAGAGTTTCAAAATCAAAGATCTAGGGGAACTCAAGTACTTTCTTGGCATTTAATTTTCTCGGAGTAAAGAGGGTATCCTTATGCACCAAAGGAAATACGCCTTAGAGCTCATCTCCGATATGGGACTAGTTGGGGCAAAATGTGTGGGTGCTCCTTTAGAACTTAGTCACAAGCTCACATCATCCGAATTTGACAAACATATTGGTGATACTTCTGATACGATCCCAGTGTCTATCAACGCTTGTTGGGTAGGCTTTTGTACCTCACCATTACTAGGCCAGACATTGCCTATGTTGTACAGAATCTTAGCCAATTCATGTATTATCCAAAGGTTTCGCATATGGAGGCTATTGTTCGTTTGGTTTACTATATCAAATCTTCTCCTAGCATGGGCATTCTTATGTCTTCTGTTACTTCGAATACCTTGACCGCCTTTTGCGATGCTGATTGGGCTTCCTGCTCTGTTACGAGGCAATCTGTGACAGGCTATATGATTAAATTTGGCGCATCTCCTATGTCTTGAAAATCCAAGAAGCAAACCACTATCTCTAGAAGCTCTGCTGAAGCAGAGTATTACAGCCTTGCTACCACTGTTGCTGAGCTTGTGTGGCTCGCTGGTCTATTCTGAGAATTAGCTATGGATATTCAATTGCCTATTTCTCTCCACTTTGATAGTAAGTCCGCTATTCAGATTGCCGCCAATCTCGTATTTCATGAGCGCACTAAACACATCGACATTGATTGTCATTTCATGCGCGAGAAGGTGCTTCAAGGCCTAGTACATGTTCAATATCTGCCATCCTCCGAGCAAGAGGCTGACATTCTGACCAAGGCTCTCACTATTCTTCAACATCGTTATCTTTTGTCCAAGCTAGGGATGAAGAACATCTTCATCACCCCTAGCTTGAGGGGGGTGTAAAGGAGCTTAGTAATTGTACAGCTGTCACTTAGTTAACTATAGTTAGGTGTCATTAGGTGTTAACTATAGTTAAGCTAATTAACTAGTATAGTTGGATGGTTAGTAGTTGATTAGTTATATAAATGTACAGTGTATTTGGACATTAGTCGGTTAACACAGTAATAACAAAAATTCTTTTCCCTCTTTTCTCTCTCCTCACTTCTTCGTTGCAACTCTTCTCCTTCTTCGAATTCTCCAGATTTGTGAGAATTAACAAAAACATCATATATATAGTATTTCAATGTGGCAACTTTTTAAATTTAAAACTCATAAAGTTTAAATCTAGCTCCATCGTCTACGGATACCATGCAGGGTATAAATGGGTAATAAAAAATGATGAAAGCAATATGGACGTCAACATCGACCTGAAAACGGAAAAAAAAAAAAAAAGAGGAAAAGAAATAATCATCAAAGAATAAAACATTTTCCTAATTCCACCTAACGTGCAAAATGTATTAAAAATATCTATCTGTATTTGGTGTACTTATAGCAGGTCCCCTTCCATGTGGTTATCCATTCTCATCCTGAAAAGGGGTATGAATATAATTCATTTTGACAAAGACGTTTTTTTGTGGTAATATAATATGTGAAAAACTTTGACTTATTAAGATACTGTTATAAAGTGTTCCGATTATAGTATGGATCAGCAAAGATAATTTTGAGATATTATGATCAAGACCTAACTACATTAAACTCACCGACAAAACCATGCACGTGGACATCTGCAAGACACATTTTAATTGAAAAAGATATGACTAAGACCACCTTTAATATATATTCCCTCCTTTTTAAATTAAGTGGCATGGCTTGAAAGGGCACGAAAGAAAGAAATAAAAATTTTTGAAATTTGTGTTTGTAAATATATCATAATATTTTTATGAATATAAAAGCTTGTCATAAAGAAAAAGTAAAAATTTTAAATTAAATTATTTTCACATTTAAAAAGAACAAAATGAATTGAATAACAAATAAATATTGATGAGCAGATGACCTTAAATATTGATGAGCAGATGACCTTACGTACACTAAGCTCCAGAGAGAACTTTCTTAAGAAAAAAAGGAGAGGTAGAGCCATATGAAAAAAAAATCAGAAAAGAAGCCTCGAGTTCTCTGTCTCCATGGCCATGGAGCCAGTGGTGAAATATTGAAGAAAGAAATGGAACTTGGTTGGCCACAAATTGTACTTGAAAAGCTAGATCTTGTGTTCTTGAATGGGCCTTTTCTACTTCAAGACAAAGTCGACTCTCATGACATTTTTCATCCACCTTACTATGAATGGTTCCAAAAGGTTGTCTCTCCTTCTTTTCTATATATATATATATATATATATATTGAATATAAGATGTTCATTTCTAATGTTACTCCTTCAACTCAGAATCCACCACATATAAATTCCGAGTTCAACCCTATAATATATGTGTGGATGGTTGTTAATCTATACTAAATAGATAACGTGCAAATCGTAAAACAAGAACTTACTCGTTTAAGATCGGATGAACTGCGACTGAAATCGGTGGTCGGCGGTGGTTATCACGGTATAATAGAGCAACTCCCAACACATTCCAAAACAAAACCAACACATGTAACACACTTAGTTTGCACATATCATATAGTAGTATTCTTTACCAACTTCTACTTCTTGTTCCGAAAATAAAACAAGAATTGCAACAATATCTTGTAGGACTCCAAAGAAATTTACCATTTTGAGGAATGTGTTCAATATGTAGAAGCTAACATGGAGAAGTATGGACCATTTGATGGTGTTTTAGGTTTCTCTCAGGCAAGTATAATTGTTCTCTCTTGGATTCTTAGATAATTAATCAAAAGTTCGTTCTATTAATAAGTAATATATTAATTTATATGATTTTTATCCTCTTTTTAGGGAGCAATTGTAACTGCAACAATGCCTGGAATGCAAAGGGAAAGAGTGGTTCTGACAAAAATACCAAATATAAAATTTGTGATCATAATATCAGGGTTCAAGTTTGGAGCGCCCGAATTTGGATGCCCTAAACTTGCTGCTAATGCATATTCATCTCCAATCGAGTGCCCATCTCTGCACTTCATAGGTACTTTCCATGACCAATACAAATAACTTAATAATGGTATATTTAGTTTAATTTCTGATTCTTAAGATTTTTTTTTCTTGGATTACCCTCCTCTTCAATTTCCCTTTGATCCCCCTTTGTTGGAGCTATTGCTTTTTTGGTAACTCGAATCCATAACTCTGGGATTGTAGGTGGGGAGGGGAGGGGGTGCTGACCATCTGAGCAACCCCTCTGGTCAATTCTTAAGATTAAGAAGTTTAGTCTGATGCAAGAACTCGGTGTGAGTGAGTATTTTCCACTAAACAATGTTATCATAACATCTCTCAATTAATTTTTCTTGATTAACTTGTAGTTTTCTATAAATTACTATTATGCCAGTTTAATTAGAGTATTAGACTCCATCTATCCCGCTAGATTACACCTAGTTAATTACTTGTGACACTTTGATAGAGGGCCCAGTGCTTAGGTTGGATCAGGGTGAAAGATTAACAAATTTCTAGCTGCAAGCTTCCGAAGAAGGGATGCATATAACATCTTAGGTAAATTCTACATCAAAGGGAGAAAAAAATGAAGTGTTATATAAGATAGGAAACAAGTTCGCATCGTACACGTGTTTGATAGTGGCATAGCTCAAGGGACATAACCGTGAGGTCGATAGAGCTCAATTGGACAATATATCTCATGGCCTTAGGCTGTGACAAAAATATTACTAGAACGAAACCCCCACAGTAGGATGGTTGCCTCAACGACGACGCTAAGACCCTAAATGGGTCTATATATGATATACCTTGAGGACGAGTTAATGAGGGTGTGTCAAGATGAAGGACTAGCTGGCTTGCAGGCTGGCAAGCTTACGAAGAGGATGTGAATATGACACCTTAGGCACATCTCATGTTGCAAAGAAGAGAAACATGAAGTGCTACATAAAATAGAGCACACGTTCACATAATTTACACGCTCGATGATGGCATAATCTAAAGGATAAATCTATGAGGTTTGTTGAGCCAAAATGGACAATATGTACTATGAGTGTGAGCTGTAGCAAAAAATATGATATCAAATGTAAACTCCAACAATACGATGGTGGGTCAAACATCAACAACTACATTGAGCCTCTAAGGGGGCATATGTGACGCCCTTGACGAAGGGCGAGCTGATAGCTAGGTTAAAGGAATTGTACAGTTAAAACAAGGGAGATAAGAGAATTTAATATCATAACTAGGGAAGTTAGTGTTATGAAGCCAAACCTGAAGAGAGATTTGTGAATTTTGTTTTTTTATTTTATTTGTTAATTACTACTAATTACTCTAAGATAATGTAAGAACAACCATATGATATCTAATTTTCCATAGAGGATAGATACTCTTTAATTGCTTAAACATTATTTCAAAAATTGTTGCAAATAACAGTATTATTTACCCAAAAAATTGAGTAATAATTAAACTTATATTGTGATTTTAAGGATATGTGATTTAAAGTTTAAACCAGTACCAATTGATAAAGAATGAATTAAATAGAAAAATTAGACAATAAAATAAATCAAACCGGTCTGCAAACAATGCCTCGACCTCGATTCGAGATAGTTTCGGGGTTAGTTAAGAACAGTAGAGGATAGAACAAACATCGATGAACAGTAAAACAAAGAAAGCAGCGTGTGTGTATATTC